GGAGCAGTCAAATCTGCAATTAGGTTTTGTTTTATATGGTGCACCATTTTTTTAGGTTGGGTGTACCAGTGCACCTATTCCCCAAAAGGAATTTCGAGCCCTGGAGTAGTTATCAGGCCTAGGTACAGACTAACACTACAGTTAACATGGTCACTCCTGGAGATGTTCTTCAAGTCCATTTTAACTTTCTCATTACAAGAGGACAAAGTTGTTGGTTGTATATTTTTTCACACTTGTAGATTCAGGTTTTTCTCCTGTATCCTGTATGAGTTTTTAAGTTTTGTAATTAGGCAGTCCTTCTGAGCGGTCCTGTATCCACACTCCCCACACATGTATGGTTTGTTTGTTGCTAGATGTTGGTCCAAAAAATATTTCCGTGGAGCGGAATAGTCACACTGGTCACACTTGTAGGAGCTTTCTCCTGTATGCGTTTTCATATGTTGGGACAAGTTGGACTTCGAAGCTGTCCTGTACCCACACTCCCCACACATAAAAGGTTTCTCACCAGTATGTTTTGCTAGATGGACGTTCAAAGCAGCTTGCTGTTTTGCAGAATAGTCGCACTGGTCACACTTGTAGGGTTTTTCCCCTGTATGGATTTTCTTATGTCGGGATAAGTTGGGCCTCACAGCTGTCCTGTATCCACACTACCCCCACATGTAGGGCTTCTCACCAGTGTGCTTAAATGGCTCGATGTTGGTCCAAAAGCGGATTTGCTGCTACAGAATAGCCAAAACTGGTCACACGTGAGGTTTTTCTCCTGTATGGGTTTTCATATGACGGGATAAGTTGGACCTGTTAGCTGTCCTGTATCCGCACTCCCCACACATGTAGGGTTTGTCACCAGCATGCATTGTTAGATGTTGGTCCAAAGCATATTTCCGTGCTGAAGAATAGTCACACTGGTCACACTTGTAGGGTTTTTCTCCTGTATGAGTTCTCATATGTCTGGATAAGGTAGACCTTAGAGTTGCCCTGAAGCCACACTCCCCACACATATAGGGTTTCTCACCAGTGTGTGTTGCTTTATGGTCCTTTAAGGTGCCTTTCTGTGCTGCAGAATAGTCACACTGGTCACACTTGTAGGGTTTTTCTCCTGTATGGGTTCTCATATGTTGGGATATTGTGGCATTTTTAGCCGCCCTGTACCCACACTCCCCACACATGTAGGGTTTTGAACCAGTGTGTTTAATGGCTCGATGTTGGTCCAAAGCGGATTTCCCTGCTACAGAATAGCCACACTGGTCACACTTGTGAGGTTTTTCTCCTGTATGGGTTTTCATATGACGGGATAAGTTGGACCTGCTAGCTGTCCTGTATCCTCACTCCCCACACATGTAGGGTTTCTCGCCAGAGTGTTTTGCTAGATGATCGTCCAAGTCTGATTTCTGAGCTGCAGAATAGTCACACTGGTCACACCTGTAGGGTTTTTCTCCGGTATGTGTTTTCATATGCTGGGACAAGTTGCCCCTCACAGCTGTACTGTACCCACACTCCCCACACATAAAAGGTTTTTCACCAGTATGTTTTGATAGATGAACGTTCAAAGCAGATTTCTGTTTTGCAGAATAGTCGCACTGGTCACACTTGTAGGGTTTTTCCCCTGTATGGATTCTCTTATGTCGGGATAAGTTGGACCTCACAGCTGTCCTGTATCCACACTCCCCACACATGTAGGGTTTCTCACCCGTGTGCTTAATGGCTCGATGTTGGTCCAAAGCGGATTTCCCTGCTACAGAATAGTCACACTGGTCACATTTGTAGGGTTTTTCTCCTGTATGGGTTCTCAAATGTCTGGATAAGTCAAACTTTTTAGCTGTTCTGTACCCACACTCCCCACACATGTAGGGTTTCTCACCAGTGTGCTTTGCTAGATGTTGGTCCAAATCATATTTCCGTAATGCAGAATAGTCACACTGGTTACACTTGTAGGGTTTTTCACCAGTGTGCTTTGCTAGATGTTGGTCCAACGAGGATTTCCGTGCTGCAGAATAGTCACACTGGTCACACTTGTAGGGTTTTTCTCCTGTATGAGTTCTCATATGTTGGGATAAGTGAGACCTGTCAGCTGTCCTGTACCCACACTCCCCACACATGTAGGGTTTCTCACCGGTATGTTTTACTTTATGTTTGTCAAAGTCTGATTTCTGAGCTGCAGAATATTCACACTGATCACACTTGTGGGGTTTTTCACCTGTGTGGGTTCTCATATGTCTGGATAAGGTAGACCTTAGAGTTGCCCTGTATCCACACTCCCCACACATGTAGGGTTTCTCACCGATGTATTTAGCTAGGTGTTGTGCTGATGTATGTTTTACAGGTTTTTGTCCTGTGTGGCTGTTCATAGTAAAGCAAGACCCGGGAGTTGTCCTAAAACTGCTCTCCCCACTCGTCAAGGGTTTGTCTCCAGTTTCATCCATCTCTGTTCTCTGTTTGGAAAGAAAGAAAAATAAAATGACGATCCGGTGAAGGGATGAGCGGCCTCAACCTGGTAAGTGATGTACTATGTAACGTTACTAAGAAAATAACCTAAGAGTATTTATTTCGGGAATAAACATAATTTGTCTATAAACCTTAACAAATTAGTCAGTGTCTCCTCTTTGGCTCTCACAGGGCTCGAATACTGCATTGAGTCGCCCCTACATGTTTTGTATATATGTATATATGTATATATATATATTTTCTGCTAATACA